TGCCGACAGCGGCCAACCCTAGGGACCCCGGAGGGGATGGACTGAAGACAGTGACCAATCCATTTGTCTCGTGCCATCCCTCTCCAGCCTTGCACAAACTTTGGGCAGGGACACCACTCCTACCCTCTGGCTAATAGGACTCCATGGACCCAACCTCCATGACTTGATCTCACTTCCCTTTAAACTCTGTTCTAGTTCTAGCCTTTACAGCCTCCTGCAGCAAGGAGTTCCACAGGTTGACTATTTGCTTTGTGAAGAAGAACTTTCTGTTATTAGTTTGAAGCCTTCTACCCATTCCTTTCCTTTCCTTTGTTGTCCTCTAGTCCTTCTATTATGGGAACTAATGGAGAACTTTTCTTTATGCACCCTCTCCACACCACTCTTGCTTTTATAGACCTCTATCATATCCCCCCTCCGTCTCCTCTTCTGTAAGCTGAAAAGTCCCAGTCTCTTTAGCCTCTCTTCATATGGGACCTGTTCCCAACCCCTGATCATGTTAGTTGCCCTCCCCTCTCCCAGCCTTTCTCTTCCCCCTCCCACCTCCTTTTCCCAGTCTCCCCCAGTTTTGTTCAATAAAGACAGAGTCAATGTTGGAAGAAACGTTATCTTTATTTTGTACATCAGGAAGGGGGGCTAGGGAAGGGTAAGTGGAAGGAGGTGAGGGAGGAATGGGGCACGAGCCCCCGATGGGGAGGACTGGGCTGGCTCTGCGGGCTTCTGGGGGTGGAAGCTCTCCTGCAGCCCCCCAATTGCCCCCTCTCCCCAGATGGCAGCCTGCGGCAAGTGCAGCCGGTCTGATGGCCGAGTGCTGTGATGTGCCCAGTGTGGGCACTCCGGGCACTCCAAGCCAGGACTGGTTTTCAAGCGGGGCACCCCTGAGAACTGTCTGTCCGGGGTGGGGGTCGGGTCCCTTTAAGCGCAGCCCTCGGCTAGCCTGAGGCAGCATCTCCACGCTCTAAGTCCTCCTCTGATGCCCTGCTGGCACTGCTTCCGGCCATCCTTAAGCCCTGTTCAGGGTCCACTCAATGTGGACATGCTAGTTCGAATTAGCAAAACGCTAATTCGAACTAGTTTTTAGTTCTAGACGCGTTAGTTCGAATTAGCTTAGTTCGAATTAACTAATTCGAACTAAGTTAGTTCGAACTAACTCTGTAGTGTAGACATACCCTGTGGTATTAATCACGGTCCCAAACCTGACAAAGTATTAAGAGAGTGATTTACATGGGTGTCAATCCAGGTTCTTGCTGAAACCAGTTGTCACAGTTCTGGGATTAGGGGTCACAAGACCAATCATTAATTTTAACAGCTCTTCAGTTTTTGATACAGTGCCTAAATCTCTGCTGATGAAGTTAAAAAAGAAGCTTCACCATTAACTACAATACATCAAGCCGATGATGAAGCCAACAAATGGGCTTCAAGAAACTCTAAAGAAACTTTGTGCTCATATTGAATGTGTATGTGAATATATGGATACTGCTAACTTTATGTTTTCTTTCTCCTTGCTGTTACCCAGGAAAATTTTGGCTCGAAAGATTATTTCACTGGCGCTGTTCCTCCTTTCTTTGTTCTTTTTTGGTGAGTTTCCAGAAAGTTTGGTGGTCCTAGCTCTTACCATTTAGGAGGAGTTCTTGAAGAGACAGATTATTGGATGGCTGGACAGACAGATGATTTGAGAGAGTTTGTCAGTCTGTCTGTTCAAGAACTTCTAATGGTAAGAGCTAGAACCACCAAATTCAGTATACAGCTTCCTCCTATCGTGACTTTAAGTAAGGTTAGGGTTTGGATGTGCGAGGCAAATGAAATGTGCCTGGAATGGGATTGCTTCTCATAAAATCATGCAGAAAAGAGACAGAATCACCAGGGGGATGAAAGGGGCTGGTTCGGGAGATGTCCCGTATCTGAGACTGCCCCTGTCCTGAGTCTCCTCCCTGTGCCTTATAGAGAGGGTGGGATGGCTGAAGCCCTGCCCCTACCCCCGATTCATATGGGGACATTGCTGGCTGTTCCCCTTCATCAGGAAGTCAGGTTTAAGTGCAGTTTGCTGCATTCTTCACTCTGGCTTCCCCTCCGCCCTACATACGCTCTCTCTCTCTTGCTTTCTCTTCCTCCCCTGCCCAGAAGGAACTGAACAATGCAGGTACAATTCCAGGTACATTTGCTAGTTTAAAACAAAGAAGAAAAGGTATCTTTACTGACTATGGGGCAATGGCAACTTGTGAAATTGGGAGTCTCCAGGGAAACTGTTTATGTTGTTTTGATTCAGCTGTACCTTTTTTTGATAAAAAGAGGGAAATAAAATTAATTAAATTAAAATAGGCAGTAATAATTTTTTAAATACATGGAGATAGGTGTTGGTAAAAAATTAAATAGGAGGTATTACAAAAAGATAATAAAAAAGCCGGGGGAAAGTGGAAATAAGCAGAGGTTAAAAAATAACACATAAAACAATTTTCCAGTTGCATCAGAAATTCTGTACCAGGTACCTTATCCTTCCTTTTTTCACTACTGCCTAGTTTATTAAACCTCTTGATTGTCTCTTGTCTCAGTTTTTGGTTGCAAACTTGTAAGAAATTATAGATGCTTAACTTTATGCATAGGAAGAAAATTAAATTAGTGTGTAATTTTTTGCAGGCCCAGTGATTTAGACTCTGGTGTTGCAGTGAGCTCCATGGAGGCAAATCCTTGAATGTGCACAGAGCACCACTAACTCTGTGTCCCCAAGGTCTTGCCCACATGGACATCATTGCAGGATTGAGGCCACAATAATCACAAACACTGGTGAATAGACCCATTAACTTGACAGTGAGTAAAGTCAAATAGATGCGTTCAGGATTAAGACCCATAAACATAGGAGAGCCTGATCCCAACTGCGGTCTGTAATAGGGATGTTAGCCACTAATCGACTAGTTGACTAACCGATAAGCAGGACAAACGTGGAGCGGGGACCAGCTCAGCACCTTCATGCGTGTCTTCCCTAGGCTGTGCAATGCAGAGCAGCAGGTGGGTAGGTTATGCTGTGAACCAGCACTAGCCAGACTGAGTGCTGGGACTGCCTACCCTTATCGATCAGTCGACAGAAAATCTGTCTACTAATCTATTAGGAAAGTAATTGCATTTTAACATCTCTAGTCTATAGGTGATACTTCTATACCAAAAACTCCATACATGAACAATTTAATGTTACATAAACCTTAACTTTTGAGTTTGATCATTGATTTTAATCATGTAAGCCATAGTGCTCCATTAATATGGATTGAAAATGTATTTTCAAAATTTTTCCCCAGGAAAGAGTAGCTCCCCAACACAAAATCTATAAGAACATCAATCCACCATCTCTTGCAAAGTATCTAATTTGGAAACTCAAGTGCAGAGGTGGTAGGTATGTAGAAAGGGAGAGCAATAATGAAATGCTAATGACAATTAATATAGCCCTGGAGAGTACCTCAATGCTGAATTTTACATTCATTCCAAAATTAGTCCCCAGTCTTGCAATCACTTGTACATGTGTTTAAGTTGATTTTGGAGGTACTATTCCCTGGTAGCTTTACTAAAGCTAAGTACATGTGTAAGTGTTTGATAGATTGGGGCTCCTTCTTCTGAAGAAAATAATCTGTTGGAGACGATTATGTTCTAAATTTAAACAAAGTTGTTCTTTTTATGACTAACAGGTACTTACTACATGGGATTGCTTGATGGAGGAGGAATCCAGATGTCCAATGGAATATATTATAATGGATTTGTCCTCAGTGATTTTAATCATTTCTGGCACAAGGTGACTTTTATGATTAGATTTAATCAAATAAAGACTGCAACTACCAGTCTAGCTTGAGAACAGAAAGTGCTTACCAATAACTTGAACCTTCTTTCTATGCGGTTTCAGGTAGATTGGAGACAGCCGTATCTTAGAATTTATTTATATTGCATTTAACCAGACATTAATAATTATTTAGTTTCTGGGTCTGCTACTGTTTTACTACATGCCTTTGAGCAAATTACTTGGGCTAAAATTTTCAGAAGTAGCCTTTAATTTTGGTTTTCTTCATTACTGTTTGCTCACCTTTAGATACCTGGGATCCTGTTGTCAGATGTACTGAGCCCCTATAAGTCTAGTTGAGGGCACATGATGTAATAAACATCTTTATGATACAACTACTGAAAATAAAACTATTTTTGATAAAGTTTCAGTGTTAGTTAGACTTCTATCAAAAAGAGAAACTATAATAGGAATACACTTTATCATAGACAGCAACAAGTGTAGCCACTAGTATTCCAGTCTTTCCTCATAGAAAATATATGTATTTGTGTCAGAAGACAGTGAAGTAATGTTGTATTGATAACAGACAGGAAATCCTTGGTTACAGGGGTCCAATAAAACATTAGAAAAGAAAAAGAGGCAAAACCTAAAATGGAGCTAACAATGGAGAAGTTTTAGTGAAAGTTCAGAGACCCAGTTGGCTGGCTGATATACATTTGACCCTTTTTCAGAACTGTAAAAGAAAGAAGAAGTAGTTATTGGTTTGAGAATGTGGAAGACACATTTGAGCTTAAGGGGTTTTGAGAAATGGGTAGCTAGGAAGTTGATACAAAACTAGCAGAAAACAGGGTTGTCCGATGTATCCTTTTATTTTCTGTATTATCAAGATAGATGCTTTTGCATTCTGAAGTGTTTTAACCAATATCCTGGAGCCTCACACGCAACTTCTTTTGTTAGCAATTATTGTTAATAAAAAAAGTAATATATACAATTCTGGTTATTGCTTGGAATCAAATAAGTTTAAATTATAACAAACATTTATCTAACAGCAAGATTTGAGTGTTTTTCCTGCTTCCACCACAGGAAAATATGTTTCCTTTTATTCTAATGTTTCATATTTCTTAGGTGGTAGCTGCAAAATAGCAGCCTTTATGGAATAAACTCAGACACATTTACAGACACAGAAAATATGAAAATTCAGTACACATTTTTGTGTACATACTGACCTACATGATTATTGGTTTCTGGTGGTGGTTTGTTTTTAATAAATTGTATTTAATGTCTTAGAATAAATAAATCAAATGCATGATGGGAGACTGCGATATCTATTTCATGAACTAGGAAATATCTGGCACTAATCTGATGTTCTATTTAATCATCTTTCTCTACTGGGTATTTATAGGGAGCCAGTAACTGTTGTGTGTGAGTGTTATACATTAGAGAAGGTTCCAGGGAAAGTACAAAAATGAGGGCTTTGGCTTGACTGAGGTTTTCTTATAGCATGAAAGCTGCAAGCGACTGCTTTTCATGCTCAGACTGTCTTAGGGTCACCCTGCTTTTGCTGAAAAGACACAAGGTCAAGATTCTCTGCTGTGGCTATGGGTAGGCATGGCCCAGCCAAGGGGAGGGCAATATGGCACTAAGCCACCATTGTGCCTCTGTGACCCTCTTCTAGAGTAATTTTTGTAGTAGCCCCAAAGGCTCCTCTAATGTCTCCTCTTTATACTGCTATCTATGGCCTGTCTATGGCCTGCTCCACAACTCAGAATCCTCCTCCTTTTATTCATCGCCATGCCTCATTTGCATATCTTCTTGTGCAAGACTGGGCAATGTAGATGTAGCCTCTGAGTATGTAGGGGTACGTCTAAACTACATGCCTCCGTTGACAGAGGCATGTAGATTAGCCAGATCGGCAGAGGGAAATGAAGCCGCGATTAAAATAATCGCGGCTTCATTTCCCTCTGCCGATCTGGCTAATCTACATGCCTCCCTCGACGGAGGCATGTAGATTAGCCAGATCGGCAGAGGGAAATGAAGCCGCGATTAAAATAATCGCGGCTTCATTTCCCTCTGCCGATCTGGCTAATCTACATGCCTCTGTCAACGGAGGCATGTAGTCTAGACACACCCTAGGTGTCCTTGCGTGTCTACTGTTTCATATTCCTGTCAAGAATGATTGCTTCTCTCTGCAGGAGACTTTGTATGGGCTGTGTTAGTGATTTAGTATTAATGTTTTATTAATATTTTCATCTAGGATGAATCAAAGATATCTGGAATAGAACTGCAGTCTCTAAGGTAAGGTGGATTTCTGGATGACAACTTGACTCATTGCTTTAAAGAAATTCCAATCTTAAGTAGAACAACTGTACAAATTGAGGACTTGGATCTCCCACGCACTTTATACACTTGATAATGTTCCCAACCCCAAAAGTATCTGTAGGAATTTTTTTCTTCCCTTCTCATGAAATCCAGAAGAAAGGCAGATACTGGAGCAGGCAGTTTTGCTTCCCTGTCTTAGGATATAAGTTGCTCATGGACACCACTGGATAAGAAGGAAAAACTGCTTCTATATCTATCTTCCCTGATAGATACGTCTACATTGGCTACGTCTACATTGGCATGATCTTGAGCAAGAACTCTTTTGCGAAAGAGTTCTTGTGCAAAAACTCTTCCAGAAGAGAGCGTCTACATTGGTATGTGCTTTTGCGCAAGAGATGTGCTTTTGCGCAAGAGCATCCATGCCAGTATAGACGCTCTCTTGTGCAAGAAAGCTCTGATGGCCATTTTAACTATAGGGCTTTCTTGCACAAGAAATTCATGTTGCCTGTCTACATTGGCCTCTTGCACAAGAACAGTTGCGCAAGAGGGCTTCTTCCTGAGCGGGAGCATCATAGTTCTTGTGCAAGAAGCACTGATTTCATACATTAGAAAGTCAGTGTTCTTGTGCAAGAACTTGCGGTCAGTGTAAACAGGCAGCAAGTTTTTGCGCAAAAGAAACTGCTTTTGCACAAGATCGCGCCAATGTAGACACAGCCTGAGTGTTTGAAGAAGAGCAGTAAAGATTATTTTCCTGCTGCTCAGCTTTGTCTTTTTTGTGGTGGAGGAAGGGAAAAATTATTTTGCTGGTTACCTGCATATTCTGAAATGATTTGCAATAGAAATTTCTGATTGTTCTGCCTTCCTGTAAGGTGGAATAGAAGTTCCTTTGTACGCTATTCCCAGTGTAGGTTGAGGAAACCTCTGCTTCCTCCTCACCATAGCCTTGTCACTGCCCCTGCCTTCAGCAAAATTTCTCAGCTCCTCTTGGCTGGAAACTGGCCAATGGGAGATTGGAGATTTTGCTAGAGGGCAGGGACAACGCACAAAGTTTTCTCCTCTCTGCCCAGCTTGCAATCTGGTGTAAGCAGCCTTGGCTGTGTCTACACTGGGCCATTTATTCCGGAAAAGCAGCCACTTCTCCGGAATAAGCTGTGAGCTGTCTACACTGGCCCCTTGAATATCCGGAAAAGCACTGACGATCTACTGTAAGAAATCAGTTGCTTTTCTGGAAAAACTATGCTGCACCCGCTCAGGCAAAAGTCCTTTTTCCGGAAAACTGTTCCGTAAAAGGGCTAGTGTAGACAGCACAGTAGTCTTTTCCGCAAAAAAGCCCCGATCATGAAAATGACGATTGGGGCTTTTTTCCGGAAAAGCGCGTCTACATTGGCCACGGACGCTTTTCCGGAAAAAGGGCTTTTCCGGAAAAGCATCCTGCCAATGTAGACGCTCTTTCTCCGGAAATACTTATAACGGAAAACTGTTCCGTTTTAAGCATTTCCGGAAAATCATGCCAGTGTAGACGTAGCCAACTTGTGTTTAAAGGTTTAATGCAGTTGATTTGTAGTAAGGTGTCGTCAAAGTGGCCGTTGCCGCTGTTAATCTTCCAGGGTTTGGATTAGCAGGTCTAATGAAGACATGCTAATTCATTTGAGAGGAGAATTCCAGTCGATGCCGATAGTCCTGCTTCCACGAGAAGTAAGGAAAGTAGAAGGGAGAGTGTTCTCCCTTCGACTTCCTGCAGTGTGGACAGCGCCAAAAGTCGAGTGAAGGTACTTTGACTTCAGTTACACAATTAACGTAGCTGAAGTTGTGTATCTAAAGTCAACCTTATCCTATAGTGTAAACATACCCTAAGGGTAAAATACAGAAGCATGGAGATGGGGGAAAAGCAGCTGTGGGGCAAAATGAGAAACTAGAACACCTAGGCTACGTCTAGACTGGCATGATTTTCCGCAAATGCTTTGAACGAAAAAGTTTTCCGTTAAAAGCATTTGCGGAAAAGAGCGCCTAGATTGGCACGGATGCTTTTCCGCAAAAGCACTTTTTGCGGAAAAGCATCTGTGCCAATCTAGACGTGCTTTTGCGCAAAAAAGCACCGATCGCCATTTTCGGGATCAGAGCTTTTTTGCGCAAAACAGATCTGAGCTGTCTACACTGGCCCTTTTGCGCAAAAGCTTTTGCGCAAAAGGACTTTTGCCCGAACGGGAGCAGCATAGCATTTCTACAAGAAGCACTGATTTCAGACAGTAGGAAGTCAGTGTTCTTGAGGAAATTCAAGCGGCCAGTGTAGACAGCTGGCAAGCTTTTGCGGAAAAACTTGCCAGTCTAGACGCAGCCCTAGGGTAAGAAGGCTATTACTGGGGAGAGAGAGCAAGCGAAAAATAGAAGTGGTGGACATGAGGAATGAAGGGGGGAAAGCCTTTAGCAGAACTGAGATGTTTAAAGTGGAATACAGGAAGATCAGAAGGAAGGAATAGAAACTCCCAAAACAGATGTAACAACTGCACTAAGATAGACTGTGAAAAGTATGAATGAAGAAAGAGAAAGAGAAAAAAGAACAAAACGAAGGGAGTTCTATCAAACAGTAGATTTTGATTAAAAAGTTGATTACAAGATGCTAGTAAAATTGCATGATTGTTGAATTATGTAGACTATATTAAGGTACTGTACAGAACTGTAGGATGAGGAAGTGATGGGGGCTTTGGAGTTTGGATAGGAGCGGAGCATGGAACTCACTGTTCCTATGTATAAGGAAACAGGGATATTTTTTGTCTAGTAAAAAAGTGGTTTAGAAGTTCTTGCAGGAATAACTGCACTTTTTAGTATGCATTTTCATTGTTTTTTATTGTTTTATATTTTATGGGCTATGTGACAGCTAGAACTAGACAAGGGAACTGGACATAGATTTTGTGGCAGTTTGCCATTTGTTTGAGTAGTTTTTAGTGAAATATAATCTGCTGCTGGCTTGGTCTGCATTCCAGATAAAACTGACTTTTTCAAGCGTATGCTCTTGTTTTGAAATACCCAGACATCTTTGAAAATTGAGTTTATTGCATCTTGTATGTTGATATTTTCTAGAGAGGATCCCTCTTATTTCCGCCATGTTTAATTTTTTTTCTTCATCAAACAAAACCTTGCTCCCTCAGTCTTGCCCTTGCAAATGTTTTAGATAGTGAAAATATGCTTCCACTCTCCTTTGTGTTACTCAGGAAGCAGGGGGCGGGGGGAATTGAAAGTGCCTAAGTCCTGTTGAAAGTTTTTTGGTCTGAGACTTCTGATTTGCTTAGATACTTTTGAAGATTTTGTGCATAGGGCAGTGGGGTGGTTCCTCCATCTGAAGGTATGAGAACTGGTTTTTAAGTCTACTTTTTCACTCACTTAAGGTAAAAGTGTTATTCCAAAATAACATAGTACACGTCTACAGTACAAGCCTTTATTTCAAAATAATGTTGAGCTGGAGGACTTCTTACTCTGACTCATGGTAACCCTCATTTCACAAGGAGTAAGGGAAGTTGAAGGAAGAGTGTTCTTCCTTCGACTTCTTGCTGTGTAGACAGCGCCAAAAGCCAAGTTAAGCTATTTCAATTTAAGCTATGCAATTGACAAAGCTGTAGTTGCGTAGCTCAATTAGACTTTAGCCGTTCTGTGTGTACCCTTACAAATTGATCATGTGCAGCAGTTTTATTTAGCGGTATAAAAAGAGGTGGCTGTTGCCTGTCTCTCATTCTCATGACAATACCATAAGACAGACAGCCGGGGGAATAGTGTTTTCTGTCACTTTTCCCCCCCACTTTTTCTAGGCAGGCAAGCCATGTTTTGAAAGAACTTCAGTCTCTTAAAGAGCAGATAGATAAGCTACAGACAGAGCTTTATACTCTGAAGCAAGGTTCGAAGGACATTACCCAGCGTGCTGTCCGTGAAGTCCTAGAAAGAAGTGAGATCAAAGGTGTTACAACTTGGGTAAGAGGACATTGCATGATTTTGTAGATAGAGATTTCTATATTTCTTTGTCTTTACCATAGTTCCTTCTCACACATTCTTTTATACTTCATTGTCATACAGTCTTGGGAATCTGGGAACAAATGTTATGTTCATCTCACAATTAAAATTTTACCTTTGAGCTCCAGACTTTTTTGCAGGGTAGCTAGGTGGGTGGGATAGCATAGGTAGGAATTTCAGTATTCCTAATCACCACAGGATGTATAGTATCCCACACCTCCTGAACAAGATGTACAATACATTAGACATTTGAAGGAACAATAGTCTAAGGTACAATAATGAATATTACACCCAGAGAATTATCCAGTGAGAAATTCATAAGGAGAACCTGCAACCCCAGCTCTTCAGTTACTTCTGGTACTCTTAGGCTCCCTTTGGTCCCTGGCAGTATGGCCTATTGGAGACATGCTGCCAAGGCTTCCCCCAGTCTCTCCCCAGGGAAACTCTGTATGAAGGGGCTGTTTCACAGGGCTTGCAGGGGATAGTATGTGCACCCTCCTAGCCTTCCACAATCTGTCCCATGGTTCGATGCAGGGGATCCTCCGCACATGTTATATTGTGTAAAGAATCTGTCCATCTACAGCAGCTGGTCTTTGAGATAGAAGTGAATTTTAGAGTAAGGACTTCCCAAGGTTAATCCCATTGGCGGTTGGCACTCAGTATTCCTGAGAACAGGGTATACCAAACATCTTTGCTTGTCTCAGTTTCCTTCTCTTTTTTTGAAGTTATAGGAATTTAACCCATCAATGTAATCGCTTACTTTTATGAAATGCTTGGTGGATGATGATTAAATAGCACATATATAAGGGATCATTAAATAATGACACAAGCAGATTATCATATAGTTACCACTGTTATGACATAGTATAACAACTGCCCAGAGAGTTACATACACGCCTGTAAAAGTGTACATTGCCAAATTGTAGAACAAGGTGAATACCATAGTTGTGTGAGAGCTTGAGTGAGGCAACAGATGGTTTTCAGAAACTCTAACAAGTGGTCCCTAACTCAAGAGACAATACATACACCTGATACCAGCCAGCCTTTTTGGGTATGTCTACAATATTAAACTTTAGAACTTACAAGATCTACTTCTTATTCAACCAATCACATAGAGAAACAAAGTTTGTTTTCATTTGCAGTAGATAATACAGCTTGCTTCTTATTTACAGTGTCACGTAAAACATGTTTTCCCATGGCATCTTGGTACCATGCATTGCAAGATATTTATGTTCCAGATATGCTAAACATTCATATGCCTTTTGTACTTCAGCCACCATCCCAGAGGACATGCTCCAGGCTGATAATGCTCATTAAAAATAATGAATTAATTAAATTTGTGACTCAATTCCTTTGGGGAAAATTGTCTCCTGCTACGTTTTACCCATATTCTGCCATATATTTCATATTATAGCAGACTTGGATGATCAGGGCTCGACAAACTATGTAATCTACTCACCTGCGGTGAGTAGATTACAACCCAGAAGAGCTGGGTTCGGGCGATCTGCACATGCGCAGATCGCCAGTCAGCGCAGCTGGCGAGCGGGGCTCGGCGAGCCCTGTGGATGATGACCCAGCACATTTTTGTTTTAAGAACACTTTCATGGCAGATTTGACAAAACACAACAAAGGTACCAATGTAAGATTTTTAAAGATAGCCACAGCAATTGACCCAAGGTTTAAGAATCTGAAGTGCCTTCCAAAATCTGACGGATGAGGTATGGAACATGCTTTCAGAAGTCTTAAAAGAGCAACACTCTAATGCAGAAACTACAGGACCCGAACCACTAAAAAGAAAATCAACCTTCTGCTGCTGGTGGCATCTGAATCAGTTGATGAAAATGAACATGCATTTGTCCATACTGCTTTGGATCATTAACACACAGAATACACCATCAGGATAGAATGGTTAAATGGTGGTTGAAGTGTGAAGGGACATATGAATCTTTAGTATATCTTGTAAGGAAATATTTTGCAATGCTGGCTACATCAATGCCATGTAAACACCTATTTCCACTTTCGGGTGACATTGTAAACAAGAAGCAAGCAGCATTATTTCCTGCAAATGTAAACAAACATGTTTGTTTGAGTGGACAAGAAATAGGAGTGAGTGGACTTGTAGGCTCTAAAGTTGTACATTGTTTTATTTTTGAATGCACTTAAGTTTAACTTCTATGGTAACGAGATTGCATTACAGTACTTGTAATGGAGGAATTAAAAATACTATTTCTTTTCTTTTATAGTGCAAATATTTGTAATCAAAAGATAAATTGAGCACTGTACACTTCTTATTCTGTGCTGTAGTTGAAATAAAAATATTTGAAAAGGTAGAAAACATTTACATTTTAAATAAATGGTATTCTATTGTTTCACAGTGCAATTAATCATGTGATTAATTTTTAAATCACAATTAGGGTACGTCTACACTACAGCACTATTTCGAAATAAGATATTTCAAAATAACACATCTACACACAAAATGCATTGCGATATAGCATTTTGCTATTTCGAAATAGCGCTTCCAGACTCTGAATCGCATTTAAGGCTGGCTGGAACCAGTTCCAGCAGGGCATCAGGTCAGGAGTTAAAGGGATTCTCCCTGGACAGCCAGTGTTCAGGTTTCCCTGCTTGCTTGCCAACCTCGATGAGGGACAGCAAAGCATTTTGTCTCTGCGTGCTCTGGTTGCCCTCACTCAGGACACCACAGCACTCTGCAGCATGGAGCCAGAGCTGCCCCTGGGCACTCTGGTGCTTCTCGTGGATGTGTTGCTGCAAGCCTGGCTGCACTTTCTGCAGGTTGCCATTCAGGAAGTCCATCTGGGGGCTTTCAGTATCCAAGAGGTCCTGCGGGAGAGCTTCCCCCCTGAGGAGCACTAACAATCTTTCTGGTGTGCCCCATTGGGGGCTTGTGCCTCATTCCTCCCTCACATCCTTCCACTTACCCTTCCATAACCCCCGTTCCTGATGTCAAATAAAATACACGTATTTTCATAAATACAAACAATGAAACTCTGGTGAGACTGGAGAAAGGAGATGGGAGAAGGGAGAGTGGAAGAGGGGAGGGGGAAACCTGGGAGGGAGGGAGCTGGAAGGAGGAACAAAGGGGAGGGGAAGCTCAGGGCTCAGAGTTGGGGGTCTCGCTGGGCCAACTGTTTCCCAGCACTGCGGGTGCAGGGGCCTCGGCGTACCCGGGGGAATGGGGAGGGTGGAGAGGGGATGGAGGGTGTGAAGGGAGAAGTGGGAGGGGGAGAAGGAGTGGGAGGAGGAGCGGTAGCTGGGGAGGCAGCAGGTGCTGAAGCGGCAAGAGGCAGCACACTCTGCACCAGGGTCTGCAGGTGCTGGCAGATGGCATGGCCCTGAGCAAGCTGCTCCCGCCAGAGCTGCAGGTCTTCTTGCACCCAGTGCTGGAGGGTGTGGTGCAGGGCTCGCAGTGCCCCCAGGTGCTGTTGTTGGTACCCGTCCAATGGACGGGTGGTCCTGTGGAGCCCTCGGGTGCGGGAGCATGTCCTGGGCGGGCTGGTGAGCCCTGCATGTGCAGCTGCTGTGTCTGTGGAGAAACAAGAGAAGTGGTCAGTTATCCCTGGGGACACAGTGGGTGTAGCCCAGCCCCCCTCTGTGAGGTGAGGATGACCCGTTCTCTGCATGATCAGAGCCAATGTGTTTGCAGAGAGGCCATGTTTGGAATGTCCTGCTATCCCCGGGAGTGGGAGCTGCCCCAAGACCACATCCATGCCCCTGTGGTGTATATAGTATGTGTGTGTGGGATTCTTGCACCCAGTGCTGGAGGGTGTGGTGCAGGGCTCGCAGTGCCCCCAGGTGCTGTTGTTGGTACCCGTCCAATGGACGGGTGGTCCTGTGGAGCCCTCGGGTGCGGGAGCATGTCCTGGGCGGGCTGGTGAGCCCTGCATGTGCAGCTGCTGTGTCTGTGGAGAAACAAGAGAAGTGGTCAGTTATCCCTGGGGACACAGTGGGTGTAGCCCAGCCCCCCTCTGTGAGGTGAGGATGACCCGTTCTCTGCATGATCAGAGCCAATGTGTTTGCAGAGAGGCCATGTTTGGAATGTCCTGCTATCCCCGGGAGTGGGAGCTGCCCCAAGACCACATCCATGCCCCTGTGGTGTATATAGTATGTGTGTGTGGGAGGAGAGATGTCCCTTGCCTCTGTGTAGAGTGGCCTTGTGGAGGGATGGCATCCTGTTGTGTCCCACCCCGGAGTCAGGAGAATGTCATGCCTCCTCACACATGCGTGTGGCTAACAAGGTAGAGCCCATTTATGGCAGCCAGCTGGGGTCACATGCCCAGGGGTGGCATGGCACATGCTCGCACGTGCACAGGTTGCTGCATGATCCGTGGACAGCAAAGTCCACACACCCAGTCCCTGATTTCCGTCCCCTCTCCTCCACATAAGGGGACAGTGATGGCACTAACCTATTTTTGCCTCCCTGATCTCAGATGACTCCGGCGACAGGTCTGCTGAGATAGCATGTCCCTTGCCTCTGTGTAGAGTGGCCTTGTGGAGGGATGGCATCCTGTTGTGTCCCACCCCGGAGTCAGGAGAATGTCATGCCTCCTCACACATGCGTGTGGCTAACAAGGTAGAGCCCATTTATGGCAGCCAGCTGGGGCCACATGACAATGGGTGGCATGGCACATGCTCTCACATGCACAGGTTGCTGCATGATCCATGCACAGGCATGATCCGTGGACAGCAAAGTCCACACACCCAGTCCCTGATTTCCGTCCCCTCTCCTCCACATAAGGGGACAGTGATGGCACTAACCTATTTTTGCCTCCCTGATCTCAGATGACTCCGGCGACAGGTCTGCTGAGATAGCGCTGGTCTGCTGTGGCTCCTGGCTCTCCTCCTCCTCCTCGATACCCTGGTCAGGGCCCTCTGCCCCAGGGTTGACAACCACCTGGGTGGCACGGACCGTCCTGCCCCCCAGAATGCGGTCCAGGGCATTGAAATAGGGGCAGCTTGGTGTGTGTGCCCCTGGTTGGGAGCCTGCCAAAGCTCTTTTATTTTCATCCACACCTGCTCCTGGGTGCGGATGTGGCCTTTGCTGGCCATGCTGGCAGCTATCCTGCCATAGACAGCCGCATTCTTCCATCTAGTGCGAGATCATGGACATTGGAGGATTCCCCCCAAACCTGAATGAGGTCCATGATCTCCGCACTGGACCAAGAAGGTGCCTGCCTTTTCTGGCCCCTGGCAGGCTCCTGGGAGCGGGCAGACTGCTCCTGGGGAGTGGTGGAGGGCTGGCTGCCGGTGGCTTGCTGGCTCATATTGGGGCCACTGGGTCAGGGACAGGACAGACTTTTGTTGGGCTGGCAGGCTTGGAGCTGACACAGGCACTGTGGCCAGACTCTACCCTTTTAAGGGCTCTGGGAAGTAGGGGAGGGAGAGTAGTTTTCTTGTTTGTGGCCAGAGTGGCCGGCAGGGCACCCTGGGAAGGGCTGGAGGCCCTCTATTTCGAAATAAGCATCTACACAGCACTTATTTCAAAATAGCCGTTATTCCTCGTGGAATGAGGTTTACCAATTTCGAAATAAGCCCTCTGCTATTTCGTATTAATTTCAAAATAGCGGTTGGCTTGTGTAAACACTAGTAAAGTTATTTCAAAATAATGGCTGGTATTTTAAAATAACTTTGCTGTGTAGACATACCCTTAATTTTTAAAACTGTTTGACAGTCTGAGTTTATACTAGTTATGATAGAGCTAGCATGTTAAATTATAGGGTGTAGCTACGGTGCTATGAGCAGCAGGAGGGACTAGTGCTGCAAGTATATACCTAGCATCCTGGATGGCTATATGCTAGGGATGTTAAATTTAGTTTAATCAACTAATTGACTAGTGACTAGTTGATAAGCAGGGGAGCCACAGTAGTGTTAGCTCCCGGGACCAGAGGCTAACCCTGCTACAGCTCTGCCTTTTAAATGTATTAAATATATTAAGGCGCAGCATCTGGGACTGGACACGAGCCAGGTCCTCGCTACCCCCTGCCTCCTCTGCCCCTCGCTGAGACAGTGCTGGGGGAACCGGCTTTTAAGAGGCAGCAAGGAGGGGAGGAATGACTAGTCGTGGGACTAGTTGACTATCCAATAAGCTTTTGCTTTTGGTTATCGGATAGTCGATTAGTCACTTATATCCCTAATATGTACTTGAGACAACTATCTTGTTGTGCCACCCTGACTAGACTTTATTTGTAGTGCTCTAGCAAAATCTACTTATTATGGACTTAGGGATTTTTAGGGAGTTAACACCCCTCACCACCATAGTTATCTCAACCTCAGTTTTACTGTAGACCACACCATAGCCTAACACAATGGTTATTTCATGATTGTTTTACACATACTTTGATGTGTAGGTGAATTGGTGTGCATGCTACTTGCAAAGTCCTTTTCTTTCTCACAGTCCTTACCTTTTATATTCCTTCACAGACCGTGAAAAGGATGCTGAATAAAGTACTTGAAAAGCTGGATGAAGACCAAGTCCAAATGCCTGATTATGCCCTAAAATCAGCAGGTATTATTATTTGCAATTAGAATCAGGGTTTTCATTGTGCTGTACACTGTACAAATATATAGGAAGACAGAGTCCCTGCCTCAAAGAGCTTACCATTTGAGACATGATGTACAAGTGAATGTCACTTTTTGTAGGAGGGAAGTGGCAGAGAGGAAAAGGGTCATAATATAATAAAATTATGCATTTACATAGTCTGTCAATGTTCCAAGACTTTTTTTAAATTATTTCTTATTTTTATATTGTTTTCATTAATCACTGTCTGTTTTCAACTTTTATTACCCATTGCCTATTATCAGTTTTGAATATTTTAATTAGCCATGGCATGTTACTATTGAGAGGAACAAAATAAGTGAGAGACCAGTACTGTTGTTAGAAATCAGTCAAAAACCTGTATTTGTTCTGATCAAAGTATAGTAAGAGCTAATATTCTTATGATTTACCATTGGGGAAAGCTGTACCAACATTCCTTCATGCCCGTTTAACAAGAATATATGAAAGTAAGCATATGCGGGAGAGAGAGCTATGAGAATTATGGCTGGTGTATGTTGATTGGGTCACATAAAAGAGTTGTTTAATAATGAATTTCTTTTTGAGGGTCACGTGCATGTTCAATATGAAATAGTCACGCACATAAATTATAATTGTATTACAGAGGGTTCGTTCCATACATGTTAGGAGTTAAGCATCCAACACCTGGTGTTGGTCATTAAATATTCTCTGTATTATTCATCATATATATAGTAGCCCAGTGTCTGTGAGTCTGTAACGCTGAAACACTGGCTGTTCACTCTGGACGGCGCTGTTGCCTGAAATGCTGGCTGTTCCCTCTGGGTGGCGCTGTTGTTGAAATGCTGGCAGTTCCCTCTGGGTGGCGCTGTTGTTGAAATGCTGGCTGTTCCCTCTGGGCGGCCCGTGCTGCATGGAGAGTGAGGGGCCCAAACAGCCACTTGTGCCGCTTGCTCCCCTGCGGCGGCCCAGCTGAACGGTGCAGAAGTCAGCCGAGCGCCACGGCGGAAGGCGAAGGGGGGCAGGTGGGGGCCCCAACCAGCCACTTGTGCCGCTTGCTCCCCTGCGGTGGCCCAGCTGAACGGTGCAGAAGTCAGCCGAGCGCCACGGCGGAAGGCGAAGGGGGGCAGGGCGGTGACGTGTGGCGTGACAGTGGCTCCAGGCCCTGCCCCCTGGCCGTGAATGTCACCACCCCTCCCCCCTTCGCCTCCCGCCGTGGCGCTCGGATGACTTCTGCACTGCTCAGCCAGGCCGCTGCGTGGGAGCAAGTGGCGCAAGCGACCATTTGGGCTCTACACCCCCCATGCAGCACGGGGAGTGCGGCGCCCAAATGGCCATTTGGGCTACGCGGTCCCCCAAGTAAGAGGCAGGAGGGGGAGGAGAAGAGAAAGAGAGAAACAGAGATAGAGGCAGGGAGGCAGTCGGAGGAGGAGGGGAGAGAGAGAGAGACGGAGCGAGAGACCGGAGGCTCAGGAGAGAAGACTGACGTAGAGGAGAGACCTGAAAATCCCGTCTTATGACAGGCTAATTGGCTAGTTGTTAAGAATACCTGCTACATTAGAAAGGCAAAGTGGGTCCAACTTCTGTAGGTGAGAGAGAAAAGCTTTTGAGTTTACGTAGAGCTCTTCTTCGGGTTCATACAATGCTATATACGAGATATTATCTCATTAATATATTTTAATTTCAGGTGCCAGCATTATTCAGTCCAGAACTACCAGGAGCTACCGTCATAATGGAGGAAAATTTTTTTGGTTATCATTTCCAATGCTGGTTTTTGTAAAGTCTCCAGAAGTTATTCTTCAGGTAGAAACCAAAATAAAAACGTCTTGAGAGTTTCCTTTTCCCTTTCCTTTCTTCCTTTTGGGACTCCTTTTCCTACTACCATTCTCCATGTGTTTCCCTGTTCTTTTCTACGGTCTGAAAATCAGGGAGGGTTGGTTGGAAAAAGAAGGCAAGCTGTTTATCATGGCATTTTTACAGACAAATGC